TGGGACACTGCAACTATCATAAATATGAGACAATTGCCAAGCGTCTGAATTTTGATCATGTGACCATGTGAATGCTGCAAAGGTCATAAGTGTGAAAACTGGTCATAAATCCTTTTTTTTCTGTGCCGTTGTAACTTTGAACTGTCACTAAATCAACTGTTGTCAAATGTTTTGTTTGCCGCATTTTAAAAATAATATTCTACACAAAAGGGTTAGAATTAGAATTTTCAGCAGACTGGAGCAGGATCCCACTGGGGTGTAACATTTAAGGTATTTCAGTTTAGGATTAAAAAGTCAGTAAGAGAGAAAATATGTGAGTATGAAAATATGCATGGGATTAATGAAAAAAAAAAAACTTCCAATAACTGATGTCTAGATTTTCCTTCAATATAAGACCCATAGTTTATACCAGTGGTTCTCAACCTTTTTAATGCCGCGACCCCCAACCGGTCGTAAGTCGAGGACTACTCAACCGGTCGTAAGTTGAGGACTACTCAACTGGTGCAGCACCGTTTGCAGAATGGAACTTTTGGCGGGCTCAGCAGGGCAGAGACAGCCTGGACAATTCCTATTGGCTTTTGAAAGCCAATAGAATTAGACTCTATTCAAGAGAGTCTATTCTATTGGCTTTCAAAAGCCAATAGAATAAAAGGGAGTAGCACAGCTAAGGAAAAGGGGAAAAAAATGGTGGATTGCGTTGTTTGGTGACCCCCGTGAAATGGTCGTTCGACCCCAAATGGGGTCCCGACCCACAGGTTGAGAACCACTGCTTTAGACCGACTCAGCAAGATATTTTGCACACGTTCTTGAGTTACATCATTATGAACTGCTGGCATATAAACTATATCTTTATTATTGCCTGCTTCCAACATTGGATAACTACTTTCTATTTCTTAATACAATACTATTTAATATATACCTCAAAGTAAACTAGGTATGCATGCAGAAAATGACAGTGTACTAAAATACTTGTTACAATATTCCTGGTAGAAGACAAGTATAATTCAGTCTATACTTTGGGATAAAAATGTTATTCTTAGGTTTCTATGCAATTCCTGAGCTTCCTATTCTTCTTGGACACAAAAGTAAATATCTATAATCTTCTACCAAATGTATAATTTCCCAGAGCAAATGAATAATCTATGATTCCTGAAAAAACAGGCTATGTTTTAGCCTGAAATCCCATAGAGCTGATGATTACATTACAATTCTATAGTCCCAGGGTGACCACCTAGGCCTACACCATTCTGGACAAATGGCTGTCCAAAATGGTAGACGGCCTACCCCACCGATTCCATTACGGGCTGGGACTGCTTCAATTGTCTCACTGGAAGACAAACTGGAGCCAGGGTTAAACTCAGACTCTGGGTCCAGTCCTCCTTATAGGAAGCTTTTTTAAAGTTTATAACGTATACAGATAGTCCTCAATGTACAACCATTCATTTAGTGACCATTCGTAAATGCAACGGCATTGAAAATAGTGACATGATCAGTTTTCATGCTTAGGACTATTGCAGCATCCTTGTGATCATGTGACCAAATTTCAGGAGCTTGGCAACTGGCATATATTTATCCCAATTGTACTATAACAATTGATGGCGAACCTTTTAGAGACTTGAGTGCCCAAACTGCAACCCAAAACCCACTTATGTATCGTTGTGTCTGGGTGGGCATGGCCCATTGGGTGGGCATGGCTGTGGTTGTAATGGCAGACTGGGTGGGACTAAAAGTTTAATCAATCAATTCCAACTTTGCAAGATCTTTTTTTTTTTCCCGTGAGAAGTTGAAATTGATTGATTGATTGAAACTTTTTTTTTTTGCACATGGCAGTAGAGGCCTAAAGTGAAAAGGTTTTATAAAACCCAGGTGAAGGCCTAGGACTGGGGCGACAGCACATGAGCCCACACAGAGGGTTCTGCGTGCCACCAGTGATACGCGTGCCATAGGTTCGCCACCACGGTCCTAGACTCTATCCCTCACACTCGGTTTTTTTTTTTTTTTTGTAAAAGATTTTTTATTTTCAATTTTTCATTACATTCATAAAGAATACTTCAGATAAAGAATAAAGTAAATTTATACCAACAACTTTCGGTATTGCTCACCCATTCCCCCCCAAACCGCATCCACCCTCTAACCTCTTCTCTCACTTCCCTCTTTCCCTCTTCTTCCTCACTCTCCCCCTCTCCTCCTTCTCCTCAACCTTCCTACTTACTTCTCCCCTTCCTCCTATCTTCTCACTCCGGATGCGGTCCAGGGGAAATGCCTGAGCAATTCCTCTCTCCAAGTTAAAACATCAATATTATATACAAAAAAACAACAACAACTATTTCTACATCTGACCTATTTAACCTTCAACCCATCCTCCCCCCACCTCCGTCCCCCCCAGCTTCCCAGAGCCAAGTACAGGGTTATACAAACATATTAAACATAATCTACTTAAGTTTACTAATTATACAATAACCAAAATCATACTAACCCTTAACTCTCTTCAAACTTTAACATCATAATTTTATAAACAAATCCATTACTCATAAAATAAATGAAATTTTGTAGTTCCATATTTCTTCTGAACATATTCTATCCATCTTCTCCATACAATAATGCTAACACTTGTTTTTGACCTTGACTTCAAAGTGACCTAACCCTAACCCTAGCCCTAACCCTATTTTCACTGTCATTGTTAATGGGATTTTCCCATAAATTTCACTGCGGCCCATAATAGAGTCCGAATGAAAAGCTGTTATGTTGTCTTTGCTTTGAGAATCTCCTAGAATCTAGTCCTAACACCAGTTTTCAGCCCTGACTTTGAAGTGACCTAACCCTAACCTTAGCCTTAACCCTAAGACTATTTTCATTTTCATTGTCAATGGTATTTTTCCATTTATTTCACTGAAGCCCTGAAAAGAGTTCAAAAGAAAAGCTGTTATGTTTTTTGTTTTGAAAACCTTCTAGAATCTAGCCCTCACACCAGCTTTCCACCTTGACTTCAAAGTGCTCTAACTCTAATCCTAACCCTAGCCCTAGCCTAACCGGAGTTTCATTCTCATTGTAAATGGGATTTTCGTATGTATTTCAGTGCAGCCCTAAAAGGAGTCCGAATAAAAAGCTTTTATGTTCTCTTTGCTTTGAGAACCTCCTAGATTAGGAATCTGACCAAAGACAGAAAAATGTTTACCCTTGAACAGAGTGTTTTGAGGCTTTCTTCCCACCTGGCACAGAGAGCGCCAAGACCAATTATCTCTAATATCGGAGTGTAGAAAGAACTGTGTTGAGGTATGGGTCAAGCAAATGTGAGAATATTCCTTGGTAATGTCTCTAAAACAGCATCTCATCTCTGTTGGCCTAGCAAGGAATAATTCTCTTTCATTTAACCCTTGGTGGCGCAGTGATTAGAATGCAGTATTGCAGGCTAACTCTGTGCCCACAGTCTGGAGTTTGATACTGACAGGCTTGAGGTTGACTCAGCCTTCCATCCTTCTCAGGTTGGTAAAAGGAGGACCCAGATTGTTGGGGGCAATAGGCTGACTCTGCAAACCTCTCAGATAGTGCTGTGAAGCACTATGGAATAAGCAATAAGCTATTGCTATTGCTATTCAAACCAATAGAACTGATCCAGAAGGAAAAATCCGTATTCCTGATGTAGTCCCTCTATCTGTCACGAGCCTTTTAAGTTTCTGAAATGATGGTTACTTTTTCTGGCTCTCCCTGTTGTAGCAGAAAGGACTAGTATCATTTATTTAATTAATAATTCCATATTATGGGAGACTGTACAAATAAAGTAAAAATGTCACTCATTCACACTGAACTCTGAAAATGGAGATGAGAAATCCTACAAGAAATCTGAGAAAATGTTGGGAGATCTTTTCTCTCCCATGAGAAATTTTGTATTATTTTCCTGAAAAATGAAAGATTATGAAATTCATTGTTCATGGTGCTAAAAAAAGTCTTTGAGACAAGGTCTTTATGTACTTATGTATTACTATTGGATGATTACTCACACCAAATGATTTCATAGAATTACATAATTATAAAGACTATACACACATTGCTCTTAACCACTGTAGGGCTTTTAAAATATTTTGTTGATATTACTTTTTGCATAATTTTTAATGTATTGTTAGCCTCCATAGAGTTGCTATTTTCAAAAGTCCATGCAGTGTTCATTGCCAACTTTGCTCTTATTAATAACTAGATTCTCTGTTCGCAAAAGCAAATTCTTAGACAAGTCTGGTCAACGTCCTTGTGAACATAACTGGATGCACTCCCCAAATGTCAGGATGATCATCTATAAACATGAGCCTGATGCACTTGTATAGATGGCCTCAATAGGCCATCCAATTTTTCTGGCAGGAAAGGATTCAAACTCGTGGGGCAGGCATGGCAGTCTTTCTTTTAGCTCTTTGGGAATTAAGAATGGAACAATGTGAAATGCACTAATGAGGCGAGTGGGTATGTCCCTATACTTCACCTCCACAGGTGAAATGAAAAAAAAAAAAAACTAGCTGTGTTCATATGTGTGGAGAGTGGAAGCCAACGCTGAACCTGGCCAGACGCAAGGCATCGCAACACAAGGCAAGGCATGACTGGCGGAAGAGTCTGGAAGAACCAGCAAGCCAAGTGCCACTAATTGGTGTAAAGCTAGTTTGCCTCCCGCGATGCACCAAGGACAGGCACACAAGCATCAAACGGAATGAATTAGCATGCTAAGCTATCGGGACTGCATTGTTCCTAACATGTGTAGATTTCCCTGACATTGCATGCCATATGCTAAATAAATAAATAAATAAATAAATAACCTCCATAGTTGTATCCGCGTGTAATAGTTAAAAATAGTTATAACTATATAAAACTCTAAAAAATAACTATAGTTAAAAACTGAGGCTATAAAATAGGAGTTGGCTATCAAATACTTTTTAAAATGTATTTGTTAAAATGGAAACAGTACCATAAACAGTTATACTGTGGCACAAAATAAGCAAGAATTTAGGTGCCATACATACCAAGGAATATTAGGAGTACGCCAACTCCAATCTGAAGTGCGAGTGAGATGCTGATGAGAATAATCAGTGGGACATAAAACCCGAAAGTGGGTCCTTGCTCCATTACAGCTTTCAGCTGGGATGCGTTGGCCATGAGCAAAGCAATATCCAACATACTTTCGGCTGCGCTCTTCTTATTGGCATAATGGTTCATGTTAATTTGTCTATTTGTCCGTAGCCATTGTCTTCGACCCTGAAAGGCAAAAATATTTCTAAGGCATTTATCAGCAATGATTTAGCATTATAAACATGATAGGGGTGGGAAAATAAATAACTTGTTTAAATTAGTTACATGTTTGTTTGGAATTGTAACAACTTTTCCACAGGGATTGAAGGCAAAAATGGACTTTAACAGTTCAGATTAAGGAGACACAGCATTGGCTTCTGCAATGTTACATTGCAATATCTTAAAACAGAGTCAACAGCTTGTTGGGAACTGGGCCACGCAAGCAGCAGGCGAGTGCATGACACTTCATTTGTGCACGCATAGGAGGTAGGTTGCAGGCATGCAACCATCCCTTACTCTCCCAGTATATGAAGCCGGAAAGGTTGGGGACCGCTGCCTTAAAACATTTAATGCTGTACTCATTTAATGTAACAATGCTATTCTCTAAATATTTGTAAATAAAGTACCTGTATCTAGAGACCAAAAAAAACAAAAAACATTTAATTAAAAATATATTAAAATGGAAGATGAGATGAGAAAAAACATTTGGCATTCACACTAGGAATATAACTGAGTCTGAACATGACCCATATTCTAAAATGACAGGAAACAGCTTCTTTTTCTCTATTTTATAAAAGTTTTAACTACCCCATTACTGCGGGAAAATATATTTCTTTTCTAAACCCTTTTGTTTGTTTGTTTGTTTGTTTGATAAAATCAGAATATATTTCTGATCATTCTGTTGAACAGCTTAGATTGCAGCTATTTCTTTTCTGGCTTAGCCAGTAAACATCAAGCACTTAGCAATAGCATCCTACTAAACACACACAAAAGTCAGGCCAGAAAGCACTTTCTATGTTTCCAGTTTCCTCCCTTAACTTCAATTTCTGTAGAATTTTTACAGATTCACTTTACTAAATTAATCATTTTACTAAGATTAAAAAAAAGTCACACAAGAGCATCAGATCAAATATTTAAATAGCAACAGGTCCCATTTGAAAAGAGGAAAAAAAATACAGGTTGCAGAGTTAATGCTTTTGTGGTAGTGTTTTATTGATAGTTAGCTGCTGAAAAGACCTCTCCCCATTTGATACTTCCTTCCATATTTATTTTCCACGTAAGCTACAAATTGTTCCATGTGTTTATAGATAGTAAATCTGCCTGAGAGTGACATGGTATAAAAAGTACAGAAATAATTGAAATGTCAGCAATGTAGCGCAATAGCAATATTAGTGAGTGGAAAAAAATCCCCATATTATCTGTTCCTTTCACACACAGTCAAACAGAGGAAAGAGGCATGTTGTAATATCCTTTTGTCAAACATCTTGTTTCTGCTGTTTTCTATTTATGACGGATAAGCCCTCTGAAAATAAAGGATTATTCCAAGAGTAAAGCATACTGACATAGGACTAGGAAGTAAAATATGCAAGAGTACGGTCTTACCAGTGCATGCAATTGTCCTACAGAACAAATGGTAGCAGATACAGATAGTCCTTGACTTACAGCCACAACTGAGCCCAGAAATGTAGTGATAAGTCATAGGGGTCCATAAGTGAGGCACCCACATGGTTGCTCCACTTAATGACCACAATCCTGGCTCTCCCTGTTGTAGTCATCAAAGTGAATGTGCAGGTTGCAACGCAGAGCACTTGAAGCCCCAGGGGGTGGGAGAGGACTGTTGGCACTCACTAAAGCTGGGTTAAGCCTGTTCTCTGCACTCAAGAAAATTATACTATTTTTCTTTTTTTTTTTCATTTTCATTTCTTTTTGCATTTTTCTTTTCAAGGCGACCTGCACTCTACATATGCTTAGAATATTGGCTTTTAAATAGTAATTTTATTAAAAATTTCAATTGCAACAATAAAAAATAAAAGACAAAAAAAAGAAAGTGCAGAAAAGGAAAAAGGAGAAAGAAAAATATCCATGGAGAGTCGCGGTCATCCAGGTCATGGTTGTCCCAAAGACGCCTTTTTAAAAGGCAACTGGATTTCCTTCGTTTTCTTTGAAGACGTTTCACTTCTCATCCAAGAAGCTTCTGAACTGTGGAAGCTTCTTGGATGAGAAGTGAAACGTCTTCAAGGAAAACAAAGTCCGGTTGCCTTTTGAAAACGCAACTTTAGAAAGAAAAATAGAAAAGAAAAAAAATAAAAATATAGTAAAAAAGAAACTCACACTGTATGTAGAAATAACTCCTTTTCATTACAATGGGTATAAATAACTTTAGTAATTTATCACCTTTTCTTAAAATAGAACAAATGACGTTTTCTTTCCATAACCAATCCATCTCTTATTCATGAGGCCTCATTATTTCAGTCCTGATGTCAACCATAGTCCATACCAGAGATAACAACATATCTATTTTAAACTTGATCAAATAAACCAAGTTTATATTCCTTCTTTTTACTTTTAACAATCTTGATTTTTAATCCCTTCAAATGACCTAGAATTTTATTTCTTTTTATTTATTTTTTTGTTTTGTCTTTTCCCACAAAAATTTTCAAGGCTTTAACAAGTCTCTTTTATAACTACAACATAGGAAAAATATTCAGGGTGCTCTCTTGGTTTGTTATTTGGATATCCCTTTTAATTTTTAAGACATCAGCAGGGGGTTGCACTAGAAGAGTTCTAACAACTCTATTATTCTGTATTGAGTAAGACTTTGCAGAGAACCAGCTTTGAAGAGCAAAATGTCATTAGGCATACCTTAAATGCAACATACATTTTTGTAGGACTTCCAGGCAATTAATTGTGCATGACAACCTTGCTAGCACAGAAAAAAAAAAGACAAATCTGCTTCAACAAGTTCACAAAGAAAATATGTGTGCCCCCATATGCATTCTAAATCACATTTAGCCTTTTGGGTCTTTGCACAGCTCTGCTTTTTATACACCTGACGAAGCAGCAAGGAAAAATACGGTGATCTTTTCAATGAGATGAGAATATATTATGACTGGATTTTTCCCTTTTCCTCCAATGCATTTTTCTGCACTATAATTCGGCATTCTGTTTTAACATTCCCAGTTTAATCCTAAAATGAGCAAGGGGTTGGACACAAAGGCCTCTAAGGTCCTTCCCAATTCTGTTATTCTATTATTCTGCTAAATTCACTTTCACTTTGGAGTTTTTTTACACTTGTTCACTGGCAACATTTTTGAAGCAGTAGCTTTATATAACTATTTTATTGCCCTTCAAAGTATGACTATTGTTATTTGCCATATTTTCCTTCTAAAGTTTCACACGTTTCATTATGATAAAGTCCATTGTAAGAGGACATGGTTCTAATTGGTATCAGGCTTGTTTCCATCAAACATGTTTTTAATGAGATCAGAATTAAAATCACGTTGGACTCAGAAAATTAGCGTTTTAGCATTCAAAATTTAATACAATGAGTGCAATTATTGAAATTATGCACAAAAAATAAGTGCATGCATTCTCAAGACTGCTTTTGCAATCAAGATAAGATTCAGAACATGCAGAAAATAGTGTCCCTATTTAAGACACATATTTAGAATTGCACAAGATATTGCTTCAGTGGAGTATTTCCCCAACTTCTCCAACTTTGCAGCATTTCAGAAAAAAAATCTTTCTAATATTCTTTTCAGAAAATATTTGTCAGAAAATCCATTAGGTGTAGAAAAGAGCAACAGTGAGGAAAGGGTTCGTTTATTTAATATTTTAGGTTAGGTGGAGTTTAAGTGTTAAACCACAGTGAGAGATTTCATCATTTAGCCTATTGCTAATGTAAATACTGCCCTTTCAATATTAAAAGCATCATTTAATACTTTTTTCCTAGACGACAGGTGTTTATACAACAACTCAGGTCTAGCCTGTATGAATAGTAACTTTGTTGGTTAAGATGAAAATGACTGGGTGTCATTGAACAAGAGCCACAAAATGAAATATTGATCTTCTATGAAAGAAGCTTTAATTCAAAGCAATGGCATCAAAAGAGGATTCATATATTCCACTAAGCCAGAAGTCCCCAACCTTTTGGGCACCAGGGACCCGTTCCGTGGAGAAAGGTTTTTCCACAGATCGGAAGGTGTGTGGTTTTGTGTGCTGCTGCATGTCATGGATGGGGCTTTGCTTGTTTGTGCAGACCAGTTGCTGGCATGCCACAGCCCGGTACTGCTCCATGGACCGGGGGCTGGGGACCCCTGCATTAAGCCACCAAGCACTTTCTTTGGATTCATCCCACTATAGTACTACAGTATGTTACATTGCCTTGAAGACTCTAGTACAGTGGTTCTCAACCTTTCTAATGCCGTGACCCCATAATACAGTTCCCCATGTTGTGGTGACCCCCAAGTGGGTGTGGCCACCAGTAAGAATGAGTAGGACAGCTAGGGAAAAGGAAAAAAATGGCGGACAGCGTGGTTTGGCGACCCCCGTGAAATGGTCGTTTGACCCCAAACGGGGTCCCGACCCACAGGTTGAGAACCACTGCTCTAGTAGGTACTGTATGTCTGAGGGTAATACTGAAAATAGGGTGGGTAGGTGAAATTGGATTTTTAAGTACCTGCAAGACACAACTTACCACTACCAACTTTCCTCCCAAAGGATCACAGTTTTTGACTCCATCATTTCTGGCTTAGTATGATCTGTGAAATGGTTTTTATGCTTATTTTCAATGTGGACTTTGGCTTAAGACAAAGCATCCATTGTAAACAATGTTGTAGAATTTAGGCGTATATATTTTATATGTTACTTCTTTATTCTTACCTCAAAAAAAAAAGACAAATTAAATGAAAACATCTTTAAGTGCCTTAATGTAGTTTTAAATGGGAAACATATATATTTTATATGTTACTTTTTTATTCTTACCTCAAAAAAAAAGACAAATTAAATGAAAACATCTTTAAGTGCCTTAATGTAGTTTTAAATGGGAAATCTCAATTGTCTAATTACCACAATGACTGCTTCTTAGAATTTAAGTCCATTCATATCTACTTTTCATTTAGATATTTTAACATGCTATGGTAGCAATTAAGTGTTCTTTCTAGGAATTATCACTATCAACACCATAG